CTCTATGCGACGCTCAAATCTTGCCAGACAGCTACTAGACAGCGATCATTATCCTATAGAGGTTCGGATTAATTGCATGGTCCATACTTCCTCGATTTTCTCGAACAAAATTAAACTTACCAAATCCCAGTGGGATGCGGTTGTACAATATCTACATAACAACGCGGATTCTATCTCTCAAGGTATCAGTAACATTGACCCCGACTACTCGGTCTCACAATATAACACTTTCATGGACTCTATCGCGGCTAGCTATGAACACTTTTCCCCTTCTAAACCTCCTTCTTCTTCCAAATCTTCACGGGCTTCTTTTACCAATAGGGGTCCTCCGCCAAATCCTTGGTGGAATCCGGAGTGTTCTTCCGCGGTGAAGCGTCGCAGTAGGGCCCTTAAAATCTATAAACAGCACCCCTCTGTGGATAATTACGTTTTTTATCGTTCTGTGACCCGTAAAATTTCACAGACCCGTAAAATCCTTCGCAAGGCCAAGCGCGCCAGTTGGAAAACCTTTTGCAACTCACTTGATGGCATGACTCCTACGGCTGATATCTGGCGTATGCTCAAGCGCTTCCGTAATCGCCGACTTGTCCCTTGCAATTTGCCTGCTCTGAAGAAATGCTGACATCTCCCAGTCAATCGAGGATGCCATTGACAAATTCTGTCTTTCCTCCTGTCCTCCCCCTACCCCTTCGCTTCCTCTGCCATAGCGTGGGAACTTAGTCTGGCTCGACAATCCTTTTACTCAGAATGAACTTCGGGCTGCTCTACAATCAGTTAAAGCCTCCTCCAGCCCTGGCCTGAACAGGATCAATTATCGTATTATTAAAGCTCTCCCCACGAAGCTCCTTCTTACTCTACTGTCTATCTTTAACAATCTTTTTCGCTGTTCCATTTTCCCCTCTCAATGGTCCCACTCTCTGATCCACCTTCTACCTAAGCCTAACAATAGTGGCGTTCGCCCTATTTCCCTCACTTCCTGTTTACTCAAGATTATGGAAAGAATGATTCTAAATCGCCTCTATTGGCTCATCGAGTTTCCTCCTTCTGATCTTTTACCCAACAAC